TACAATAATTATCATTCTATTTCAGATTTTATAATTATAATTGTCATTTTTTATTTATTTTTACGAGAATTTTCTATTTAGTATTATTATATAAATAATATATATTTTTAAAATAATATTTTTTTTTTATTTTTAACACACAATTGTTTATTTTACATATAATTTTAAAATAAAACATATTAACCATTTAAGGTAGATAAAATAAATTATTTTTATCATTTTCAGTTTTTATTAAAATTTTATAGTTATAATTTACAATTTTTATTAATTTTTGGGAAAAAATATTTATTAGTATTTTTATATAAATAATAACTATATCTTTTCAAATAATAAATATGTTTTCATTTTTAACATATAATTTATATGTAAAACAAAATATTTAAATCATTTAATATAAATAAAATAAATTAATTTTATAATTTTTCAATTTGTATTAAATTTTTGGGGAAAATTAAATCTTAAATCAAGGTTTGAATATGTCGTCAAATTAGGGTCCAATATGCCTTTGTATCAGGTTGTATCCACTGATACAGTGGCATATGATGCTAATATGCACAATTGGCAAGATACACATACAGTTGTAGCGTATCATGTGCCAGTGATCATGGATATGGATACGATGTGCCCCGTATTGGGTGCATTGTATCAATACTTTAATCCTTGTTCTCAACTAGACACAACACCTCTACCATTCTATCTTTTCATTCCTATTTAACATTAAATTCCTGCCCACAGGCTTTTGGTAGGCGTGCACTTGCTTCCCAAACCTCCGCAAACCATAGAAAGGATAATGCTCAAATTATAGAGAAAACAGTGAAGAAGACTATCGAAAGGGAATGTTGTGTGTAGACTGGGTCGGCCAACACTCTTCTTATAGAGTGCTCTCAGACCCGAATGGACACAGATGTGTCCTTTCAGACAGGAGCCTCTTCATAACAGTGCACCTATTCGAAGAAGCACAAGGAGGAAGAAGAGACACAAAAAAGAAAACATTTTATTTAAAATTAAATTGGAAAATTGAAGAGACACATTTTAAATTAAAAAGTTGTAATTCGGTTAAACCAAAAGGATCTAGTGCATCGCACATACCTGCACCCGCACCCGTACCCACGTCCCGACTTGGCCCGGCTCGATGCGCACGTGTGAAAAGCACCCCCAACCCCCCCTCACATGCATGGAATATCTATAGTGCTCTCCTCTTATGGGTCCCTACCCATAGAGAGAGCAAAACTACAAATATACTCAACTTCACTCCTTTCCCAAGCAATGTGGGACAAGGAGTCTTCCCATGCACTCAAGGGTGAGAAGAGGAAAAGACAATAAACAAGGAGGAGAGAGATCCTTGAGATTTTGAATATCCCTCCAACAATCCCCCCCAAGATTCAAAATTATAAGAACATCGAACGATCTGAGCATCGCAGTGAGAAAAGTATTCATGGTGATGTCTTTTGAACTTCAATCAACACTTAGGTATGACAGGCTATGTTACAGAGTACGGGTGGAGTCAGACTCCTTAAATCTTTCCTCTTTGTCGTAACTAGCTAACCGGCCAACCAACTCAACTTACTAGTTTTTTAGTGGTTCTTTTGTTTTGGAACATTTCAGCCTTGTTCCCCTCTTGGAATCATGAGTGTTTTAGAGAGTCAGCCCTAGATCTCTCTTAGAAGCGGCCTTACTTCATACTCACTTAGGTCAGTTATTAGTGTGCATTGCCCACACCATTCCTAACTGATTAAGAACCTCATACTCGACCTCCTCAAACTATAGTGAATACTATCTTACATCGACATCTGAAATGGGACACAAATTGATAGTGCTTTCCCAAGTCATCTACCAACTCGATTTATCCATTCAACCTAATTCCAGTGATCTCCTTCACATAGGTTGGTGTCCATCACTAATGACTTTGTATTGGGCTTCAGTCCCATTCCTACCGATGCCTCATAAACGACCTTAGAAGTTTGTGATTTGGTTAACGAATCTACAAAGTTCTTTTCAGACCTTACAAAATCCAATGTGATTGTACCTTCACTGAGGTATTGTCTTACCAAGTTGTGCCTTAAGCAAATGTGCCTTCTTTTACCATTGTACGTTTGGTTCTTGGCTCTAGCTATTGCTGCTTGGCTATCACAATGGATAGATATGGATGGAGCCGACTGTGGCCAAAGTGGTATATTTGTCGGCAAGTTCCTTAGCTACTCTGCCTCGGACCCCTTCAATTCTAGTGCAATAAACTCGGCCTCCATTATTGAACTTATATTATATGATTGCTTTACCGATTTCCACGATACTAATCCTCCGCCTAGAGTAAACACATATCCACTGGTGAAAGTACTATCCTTTGAATTTGGAATCCAGTTCACATCAGTAAAGCCCTCTAAAGCAAGAGGAAAACCTGAGTAGTGTAAACCAAAATTTATGGTTCCTTTTAAATATTTTAATAATTTTATTAGAGATTTCCAATGTTCATTTCTAGGATTATGAGTATGCTGACTTAATTTTCCCACAACTATAGCTATGTCCGGTCTTGTACAGTTCATTAAGTTAGATATAGATCCAATTATACTTGCATACTCCTTTTGTGAAACTGATTCTCCTACATATTTCCTTAAGTGAATACTACAGTCAAAAGGTGTTTTAACCGGTTTACAATCATAGTGTCCAAATTTCCTAAGGATACTTTCTACATAATGTGATTGGGAGAGAATAAAATTTCCTTGTTCTTTATGGATTTTAATCCCCAAGATTACATCAACCTCATTCAAGTCCTTGGTATCAAATTTAGACATTAGAAATTGTTTTGTTTCTTTTACTACCTCTAGACTAGTTCCCATTATTAGCATATCATCAACATATAGACAAATCATGACTCCTTTATTATTTTCAAATTTGCTATAGACACATCTATCAGAATCATTTTTGCTATATCTATTAGTTACTAACACATTATCAAAATTTTCATGCCATGGTTTGGGAGCTTGTTTTAAGCCATATAGAGACTTAATTAATTTACATATTTTATTTTCTTGTCCTGGCATTATGAAGCCTTCAGGTTGCCTAATGTAAATTTCTTCCTCTAATTCCCCATTTAAGAAAGTTGTTTTCACATCCATTTGATGAACTACCAGTTTGTAAATGGATGCTATAGCAAACAAAACCCTAATTGTTGTCAATCTTGCAACCGAGGAGTAGGTGTTAAAGAAGCCTACATTTTTCTTTTGTATGAACCCCTTAGCAACTGACTTGGCCTTGAATTTATCTTTTGTGACATCCGGTTTTAGTTTTTTTCTTAAAAATCCACTTACAATCTAGTGCCTTGGTTCCAGGTGGGAGATCTACAAGTTCCCAAGTGTGATTAATTTCCGAGGAGTCTATTTCACTTTTTATGGCTTCTTTCAAAATATTGCATTACGTGAAGTTATAGCTTCGTAATAGGTTATTGGGTCCTTGTCCACTAGAAATGTGAACATTCCATCACCCAAGTTTGTTTCTCTTCTTTGTCTTTTACTTCTCCTTAAGTCTAGTTCTTGCTTAGGTGAAGAATTGACTCCTTGAGCACTCACTTGTTCTTGGTTTCTAATTGGGTGTTCAGATGGTTCCCTATTTATTGTTTATTTTCTTCAAGGAAAGATGTACTTAAAGAACTTTGTATCTCGGAACTCTATTATTGTGTTATTTTCGCTAATATTATCAATTGTTTTAATTACAAGGAATCGATAAGATGCATTGTTTTGTGCATATCCAATGAACACACAGTCACAGGTTTTCAGTTCTAACTTTTTTCTTTTAGGTTCAGGTATTCCGACCTTTGCTAGGCAACCCTAAACTTTTAGAGTTCAAACTAGGTTTTCTATTATGCCGAAGTTCAAAGGGTATGTCCTTTCTTCTTGGGTGGTATTCTATTATATAGGTGGCAAGCCGTTAGGATTGCTTCCCCCTACAAATTCAGAAGTGCACCTGAACTAATTAGCATTGCATTCATCATTTCCTTTAATGTTCCGTTTAGTCTTTCTACAACTCCATTAGATTCAGGTTGATAGGGAGTTGTGGTTTCATGTATGATTCCATTTTCTTCAAAGAATTTTTTAATGGTTTGTCCATCATACTCAGTTCCTCTATTTGTTCTAAGTCTTTTTATTTTCTTTCCTAACTGATTTTCTACTTCAGTTTTGTAGTTTATGAAAGCTTGATCAGCCTCATCTTTTGATCTAAGTAGAACTACTTTTGCATATCTAAAGAAGTCATCTGTAAAAGTTCTATAGTATCTTTTTCCTCTTCTAGTTTCATAACATTTAAGGTCTCCTAGATCACTATGAATAAGTTGTAATTAAGGGTGTCAACGGATTGGTTTTGGATTGGACCCCATCCAGTCTAAAATCAATTTGGATGGATTGGACGGACCAACAAGGCATATTGGATTGGACCAATCCGGTCCAAAATATTTATTAGATTTGATTGGACTTGGTCTGTCCGTAACAAATTTATATTAGATTGGGTTGGATTAAGTCAGTATCTAGTCCATTGATATAAAATAAGAATATATATGTCAATGGACCGGGTTTGGATTGAAACCAATCTAAATCAAAATGAATTTGAACAGATTGGATGCTTCAGATATTGAATTGGACCGGTCCAAAACATTCATTGGATTGGATTAGACCTAGTTCATTTATAATGGTTTTACATTGGATTGGATCAGATTGGACCAAATCTAGTCCAATTGACACCCCTAGTTGTAACAATTCAGCTTCTCTTTGTAAACTTTTATGAGGTTTCTTAGTAAAATTTTGCTTCAACACATACTTGGCATTTTTCTTTTGTAAATTAATAGGAACATTCAAAACTCCTAATTTACATAATCGTTTTAAATAAGGATCACTACGATGTCCTAGTCTAGCATGCTAAATACCAAAAGATTCAATAATATAAGCAGAAGAAGAAACAGTTATATTCATAACAATATCAGAAATATTCAGTACAAACAATCCTCCAACATCATATCATTTTCCAATAAATACATTATTCTTAGTTAACACTGCCTTGTCTGCTTCAAATTTGAGCTTTAGTCCCACTTTATTGAGGAGTGCTCCCAATACCAAGTTCCGCCGGATCTCCAGCACATGTAGCACATCATTCAGCATTAGGATTTTTCCTGAAGTCAGTTTTGGGAGTATTTTTCCTTTTCCGATGACCTTCGAAGTTTGTGAGTTTCCCATGAAGACTTGATCTCCTTCAGATAGAGTTGTATATTCATAGAAGGAATTGCAGACTCCACAGATGTGCTTGGTAGCACCAATGTCTAGTACCCATTCCTTCGGCTTATCAACTAAGTTTACTTCAGTCACCACTGTCGCGATAACATCCCCAGTCAAATTGACCTTCGGTTTCCCAGAGTCCTTATTTCGGTACCAGTCCTTCTTGTAATGTTCGGGTTTGCCACATACATAGAAGTTTCCTTTCTTTTGTTGCTTCTTGAATTTCTAATCATTTTTCCCATTCAAATTCTTTTTGAATTTTGCAGTCTTTTCCTCCACCAGATTGGTTTTGGAAAACTAGTCATCATCTTTCTTTCTGTTATTTTCTTTTATCTTAATTCGGACCACTACTTGGTCCAAAGTAGTGTCATTTCTCTTATGCTTCATACTGGTCTTGAAATCATTCCATGCATGTAGCAGCTTTTCTATGAGAGAACTGGCAATGAATTCATCTGGCAGTACCATGTCTTCCTTTGCTAGTTCCCCCACAAGAACCCGGAACTCATCTATTTGGGCAGACACGTCCATGTCTTCTTTTATGGTGAAGTGCAGGAAGTTGGCAATGGCATATTTCTTATTTTCGGCATTTTCTAGAGCATACTTAGTGTCCAATGCATTATAGATTTCATAGGCATAATTATAGGAAGAATAAACATTGTACAGTTCATCAGACAAGCAGTTTAGGTTATGGTTGGTGCAGAGGTGATCGGCTGTAGTCCAGTGTTCTACAACAATAGAACGGGTTGGTTCCTCCATGTTTAGTGGGTTTGGTTCGGTCAATGCAAAAGCTACCCCTAATTGCTCTAAAGCAAACAATAGGTATTGTCTCCAACACTTGTAATTGGTTCCATTGAATGGTTCAATCTTAGAGAAATCGGGAACTGTTGACAGTATCTGGTTCCTCATGAAGGGGTTAGCAAAGATAGGTTCCATAAATGCGGTTTTAAGATTGTTGTAAAAATAGTAAAGAAGGCATAATGTAACTTATTGGTATTTGCTTTCCAAACCAAAGTTGTAAAGATGTGATGATGCAGAATCTCGAAACTGAGAATTGCAGGGAGAATGAGGGTTGAGTCGTGCCACTTGGTCACTCTCCTTAAACCGCATTTGCCCCCTACGGTGCAGTCGGGTGATCGCAAATCGGTTGCCAAGATAAACAACCCACAGGCTTCTAGTAGGGGTGCACTCGCTTACTAGACCTCCACAAACCACATAAAGGATGATGCTCAAATTACAGAGAAGACAGAGAAGAAGACTGTCGAAAGGGAACGTTGTGTGTAGACTGGGTCGGCACCTATTCAAAAAAGCACGAGGAAGAAGAGACACAAAAAAGAAAACATTTTAGTTTAAAATTAAATTCGAAAATTGAAGAGACACATTTTAATTAAAAAGTTGTAATTCGGTTATACCAAAAATATCTAGTGCATCACACGCACACGCACACGTGCCCCGACCCGGCTCGGCGTACGCATGTAAAAAGCACCCACAACCCCTCCTCACATGCATGAAATATCTATAGTGCTCTCCTCCTATGGGTCCCTACCCATAGAAAGAGCAAAGCTACAAATATACTCAACTTCACTCATTTTTCAAACAATGTGTGACAATGAGTCTTCCCATGCACTCAAGGGTGGGAAGAGGAAAAGACAAAAACAAGAAGGAGGAGAGAGATTCTTGAAAATTTGAATCTACCTCTAACAAAAAATGTATACATAATTTTATTATAGTTTATCACTTACCATGAGGCTGGAGGTAGGTGACAAACCCAGATTTGTCGCATGGTAGAAACACCTTATACTAAAGATCTTTGTAAGAAATACTTTTCTAAAAGGAAACCATGAAAACTTACCTTCTTGTGGTGTGGTCTGGTCTGGTCTGGTCTGCAGTGGAACATTGGGGAGGAATGAAAATAGAGAGAGAGAGAGAAAGAAAGAGAGAGGAAGAATAAGAAGAATATTAGGAAAGGGAAGAGAAAAAATTAAATGGTGATTTAACTTGTCATTGCCGTCATCGGAGTATCAGTTCAGATCAGTTCTTCATGCTTCAGCTGTCAAAGGAGGGAGTGACGAGAGATGCAGGAGTGAGGGGTAGAAAGTTGGAATCGGGTAGAGAGAGGTTTGAGGGGCTTTTGTCATTTTGTTTTTTTTTTTTCTTATATTAAAGAGCAGGAATGGGATTCTGATTCCCAGGGGTGAGGGTGGCCCAGGAATGGCCATTTCCTCAAGTGGGGGATTGTCATTATGCTTGGAATGGGAATCGGATTTCAATTCTGTCCAACCAAACCCCTGGACCATTTCAATTCCGGTTCCGTACCCTTATTCCTGCGAATCAAACGGAGCCTTACTACTTCCCTCGCTCCATAAAATCCTTAGTTGTATTCTAATTCTCCATTCAAATACTCAATTCTTAGAAAGAAAAGAATACATGGGTCTTTAAAAGAGAGAATGGTATTCAAGAGGGTAGGGTATGATATATATTGAACTATATGTCTACCTGCAAAGTATGATAGTAATTCTATTGGGTTTAGGAGAGAATGATGAGATCTTTGGCATTATGGTTTCAACAAAATTTCTACGAGAAGAGAAGAAAAAAGGAACCAGCAGGCATATTTAAATGAAAGAAATGTCACACGAAGAAAAAAGGAATCAGTAGGCATATTACTAATTTTTTTTTTCTACTAACATGTTTGCATTCAAGAAGGGAGCAAAGTTTGCTTACAAAAATATGCAGCAAATTTTGCACCTAAAATTGGTCAGTGTAGAAAAAAAAGACTCTAGTCATGAAATTTGTGTTTATAGCCATCATAATCAAATACATTTGTTAATAATACAAAATTTGTCAATGCAAAACCAAACCAACTTTGGATGAACATGCATATTTTCATTTGCAGTTTTACCAAATGCAACCTATTAAGGTGCAAAATTCCAATATACATTTTTAGAGTTTTCATTATGAAAAAAGTAAAAAAAAAAGAAAAGTTGAATAAATGGAAAGGTTTTTCTTTGTAGTATCCAAGTAAACAGGTCTTACAGTCTATCCCTAATTAAAAGAAAGCTATGGTGGAATAATCTAATTCGAAGTAAAATCATTGAAATGGGCAAAGCTAGAACTAGATGTGTTCTCCAAAAATGGAAGGGGATTAGCTTTTAATCAGTCATTAATCTCGAAATTGGAATGGATCAAGTGTATCCTTATTTTGATATTAATATATGGAATTTTGGTTGGATTCACCCAAAAATTGTTCCCACATACTTACCTACGAGCACCACCATGATGTATTGGGAACATCAAAGGAGATATTTCAATCCATAAAACACAAATTGTTTGAGAACATCAACCCATAAAAGACAGGGGAGATATTTCAAATGTACAGCTGTAATGTCTGATGGATAGAGATTAATCAATTAGAAGGTTCTTGAATAAAGGGAAAGCATCTGACTTGTGTTCTGAAGCGTTGGGACCCATATTTTTCTTAATAGGCATGAGGATAAGATCATGGTTCTTCGCTCTATTAAACAATTTTGTTTTATATTAGCCATTGAACAGGTTTTCATCTAGTCAGATGAGGTCATGTGTGATGTATTTATAATCTGATTGAATATGAACATATCCCTACATAATCTGTAATGTTTAATATGAGAAATAATTTATTTATCAAGTACCATCTTCAAACTTTTATTTTGGGTTTCATTTTTTTTCCTTCACTGGCTCTACTCAGCGCGCCTCCTCGTTAATTAGCTCTCTATTAAGTAATTTATTGTGTGTTTCGGAATTCAAAATAATCTCATGTTTTGGATATTGATATTTGAAAATATTTAGGTTTCGTTCGTTTTTCGATAAATTATTTATCTGCGTGGTAATTACAATTACCCATATTTTTTTATTTTATATGGCTGAGTTTGGAAACAATGCAAACAAATGTGAATGCAAATATATAGAGTGTAAACCGGTTCATATAAATTGTAAAATTGGGTTAGTTTTATATTGACAAATTTATTTTCTTACCAAACAGATTTTTAGCTATAATGGATGCAAACATGATTTTTAATAAAGCATATACTTTTTTTTTTATCAAAAGCCCACTTGAATGCAAATTTACTTCTTTTTTATTGATGTACTTTTACATCTTATTATCAATGTAAATATGCATTGATCCGTCATTTGTCAATACATAAATGTAATGTTGTCAAACACAAGCAAAAGTTGACCAGAGTGCAAATTTGCCCTGAACCGGGATTTACACTCCATTTGCATCATTTCCAAACACAGACTGTAATTTTCATTGACCATTAAAGATTTACTTGGGTAAGTGCATTTACCCATTGATTGTGCACGACCTGGATGCTCCTAATTGGAGGGTATTGTCGATGTCATTGGCTTAGTGGGACGGTCAATCTGCAAAACGAACAGATCAGAGAACCCGGGGTGGCTAATCCGGCAAGGTCACTCTAACGCTTAAGTCAGTACTTGGGTGTATGAGCTGAAAATTGTGTGCTTAAGAGCTAGAGAGCAAATAATCGTGCATACCTAGGTTTCGGATGGTTGATGCCCATATATAGGTGGGTTGCCGTAGGTCTCACAAAACGCTCTCAAGATCTTCACCCTAAGCCGTTGCGGTCCGTTTCTAGAAGGCGGGGATTTCGCTAACTAACGGGAGTTACCACTTCCTTCCAATTCGGACGGATAAGATTAATTCCTACGGGTTACGCGGTGTGCCCCCCGAGAGGCTCGGAGACAACTGTCAGTCTTCTAGATTCCACCACGTGTCAGCCTGATAAGCTTGGTCTTCTGAGATACCCGGGCCTAGGTACTATCCGAGGTGGCCAAGGTACCCGAAGTGGAGCGACCTGCTGAGGTGGTCGAGGTGTAGACCCGACCTGTCAAGGTGATCGGGCACGCAAAGTTAACCTGCCAAGTAGTTGAGGATGCTGAGTCCACATGTCCGTTGTTTACTAGGTCAGGCCAAATCACCCCTCATCACCCATGTTCTTTTATTTTCCCATGTAAATTTCATTAACCATTTTAGCCATAAAAATCCATTATTAATACGGACATTATCCCCCTAGGGAGAAATTATTTACCCACCTAAAAAATGGATATCATTTATCAATGAGAATCAAAATGGAACTCTCCCCCTCTCAAAATCTAGAAAATGAACGCCCCCCTTAATTCGAAGATGATTTAGAAATTATAAATCCCTCCATGATACATATTTTTTATGTGTAAACTTTGTAGGGGTTTATATAATTATGAAAGACAATTTGTTTGAGAAAGGGAATTTAATGGATGACATTTGCCCTATGTATCAGCTGGAAGTCGAATCTATATAATGCATCTTTTTTTGCTTGTGTTCTTTAGCTAGGACCATTCTATTTGCTAATCTCCTTCTTCTTTGATAAAAAGATAAGATCAATTATTTTATGTAATTGATGGTTGAAATTGATTTCCAAGGCAATAGATAATAGATAAGAACTTAAATCTATTTTTGATTGGTTAGATATCACTATTTGTGAACTCGGGATGAAATATTAGGTTGTGTTTGGTTGACTGTAAATCTGAATCAGATATAAATTTGTCACTCGATTCAGTTTTGCATATGTTAATTTGTAATTAAGATTTGTACTTCTACCTAGGAATGGCAACAGGGCATTCAGGTTCAGGGCAGGGGGTCACACTTCCCATTCCCAACCCACCATTGGAAAAAATTTTAGCAACCATCCTTAGTCCCCAACAGAGATGATTTTCACCCATATCTCCGAATTTTTTAATTAAAATTTTGTTTTTAGAAAATAAGTTTTATTTAAAATGAAGAAAAAATTAAATATAAATAATATTTTAATTGATATATCCTGCCCTATCCCATTCCAACCCCGATTATATATATTAATACAAGTAATATTATAAATAATAAAAATAATATTATATGTTTATTA